TTCGCGAAGGTCACGAAGGGACTGGAATATGGCAAGAGCTGCCAGTGCTAGGTCGGGCCGTCCTGTGCTACAATCGGAGTAGTCCACAACTGCTGCTGTGAAGATGACGTAAGACGCGAAGACATGGAAAATAGGGCTAGGGCTCTTGCACTCGACAGGCAGCAAAAAAGAAAAGATTAATTCGACTTGCTAAATACAAAGAAGTCCGCGGTTGGCAATGAGAGATAGGTGGGCGAAGCCACAGCATAAATCAGTAATTTTCCTAACTTCCGTTGATGCGTCCTCGGAGGGGTATCCATATCCGTCATCAGCATCAGCATCATAGATAAAGCACAGCGCCCCCGAGCACGAGCGCCGCCGCCGCCGCGAGCATGCTCACAGATATACTCAGCGCAGCGTCTCCGCCCGTACCCTGCGACCCCGAGCCCGAGCCCGAGCCAGAGCCAGAGCCAGACGAGTTCCCCGGCTTGCTTGTGTGGTTGGCGATATCTGCAACGAGCGTCAGCACCAGCGCATGCGTGCCAGGAAGAGGGAGGAGGTGGGGACGGAAGATGGGGGACGCACACGACGCGAAATCCTGCATCGTATAGTTGGTCTCGACGTACGGCTGCGTCTTGTTCTGCGCGACCGCGATCGGGACGAGGTGCTAAGGGCGCCAGTCAACGCGTTTTCAAAGTAGAGGAGGAGGGGGCGCACACCGAACGCAGCCGCAAGCTTCGGGTAGTTATCGATCGCCGTCTGCATCGTGTAGTTGTTCAGCTCGTGCGTCAGCATGATCGCGCCGGCCTGTGGGCGCCGGGATCCTCATTAGCCATCACTCCGGCAGAGGGGGAGCAGGAGCAGAGACACACCGCATTAAACATGCCCGCGGTCGCATTCGCCACGAGCGCGTCGTAGTTCGCCTGCACCGTGTCCGTCGTCACGCCGTTCAGACCCACCTCCCAGTCGTTCGAGTTGTACTGCCACAAGATCGTCTCAAGCCCGAGCTGCGAGGCGATGTACCGGATGCGGTCGTCGACGTCGCCGAAGGGGGGCTGCGAGGCATGGTGAGTATACGAGCACGGAGAACAGGGAGGGAAGGAGGAAGGAAGGGATGGGCTGAGAGTCGGCGGCGCTGACGGGGATGGGGGTGTGACACCCCTTGCGAAGGATTCCCGCGTATCTATGTGGGCATCGTGCGCAGTCGTGGATCTGTCGCCCGCGATACCAACTGTAGTACCCCAAAGGGATGACGGAGCGCGCGTCGATACATCCACCGCCCTCCCCGCGAGGATCGATCCAAAGAGTCGCTACCCCCGCATGCCGCGCCGGGCGCCAACCGCAGGGCTAAACACGAGAGCCCTGGGCACCCCTGTGGCCGTCGATGCGCGCCCCCTCCCGCCCCCGTCTTCCTCCCTGCTCTAACAGAAAATGGACTCACCCGCCAACAAGTCGGCGTCACCCCCGTCACGAGCTTGATCGCCTGCAGCGTGTAGTACAGTTCGCCGAACGCGCCCTCGTTCGAGAAGGCCGTCATGTACCGGTGCGACCAGGTGTCTGCGGGGATATAGGTCAGTTTTGAGTGGACGATGCAACGAGGGCAGAGTACGCCCGCTACGCGATGGGAGGCTGCAGGCTGCAGCCCGAGCATCCAGAACGCCAGTGAGCAGTAGCTTGACGCAGGGAGCGTCGTCCGACCTGCTCGCACTCGCGCAGCCGCCGCACCGCGCACGCCACGTCACCACCAGCATCAGCTAGGACGAAGCGCGCGCGGGTAGGGCCGCCGCAACCCGCTGCACCCCGCCCCCGCGGCTGTAAGCGTTCAAAGATCGCGGCTCTCCGAGTAGCACGCAGCAAGGACGACCATCCGCCAATGGAGAACCCTTGGGCCCTGCGTCCAACGAAGACCGCGGTTCCCCACCCTGTGTGCGATATCAAGAGCGCCGCGAAGAGCAGGCCAAAACGCCACAGAGAGAGGAACGCGCAAGCATCCCAGCCGGGACCTCAGACGAAGTGGTCTTCGGCGCCTCAGCCTCCCTCGGGAACCGCGCCACCGCCCACCACGACCCCGGCCGAACCGGGAGACAGGCACGTCCTCCTCTGCAGACACCATGGCGCCCTCCCCGCCCGCCCCATGCGCATCCACCCACTCTCCCAAAGAAAACTGACGAAAGGGAAGGACACTCACGCACGCAAATCTGGTGCCCGTCGCTCACCGCACGCTGCGCCTCGAGCGGCCAGTCCATCACGTTCGAGCCGATGAAGAACATCGCTGTCGGGTGCAGTTTATTAGCATTCGGTAACGAGGGGAAGAGAAGGGGAGGAGGGAGGGGAGAGGAGAGGGAAACATAAGGGAATGAGGCGGGAATGCAGGATACGGAAGCGCGCAGGATGCCACGGAGGGGGAGCACGGGGAACGAGCAGATAGACGCCGAAAAGACGAAGCGAGAGGGAGGATGACGGGGCTCCATAGAGCCGCGCGGGGTGAGGACGAAAGCTACGAGTGATGGAGGTGGCGAGTGGATGGGCAGAGGAAACGAGCAGGGAAGGCAGGGCAAGCGCGCACGAGACGCCGAGGAGAGGAAGGAAGGGGGCGCGATGGGGGCGAGGAGTGGGGACGCGGAGGAACGTCCGATGATAGAAAGAGCGCATGTGCATGCGCGACGGAAGGGAAAGGAAGGAGCCATGCGCCGGCGCGACAGAGGAGGAAGGGGAACGGAGGAAGGGTGATGCAGAGGCTGGCGGGATGATGGGTGCGTCGTACGAGCATGGGGGAGAGAAGGACAGATCGCTAGAGAGGAGGGGGACGGAGGTACACGCGGCCTGGATGGTGGAGCATGGCGCGGCGCGGACGGAGGGGGGGAGGGGAGCGACGAGGGAAAGAAGAAAGGACGGGGACTGGGATGAGGGAGGGAAGGAGCGGCAATGGGGAGGACTGAAGAGGACGGCACGAGAGGCACTGCGCAGCAGATGGGGCGCCAGGAGACCGAAAAGGGGAGGAAGGGTGTAACGAGGAAGGCGACGGGGGTGAGAAGCAGGGGGAAATCAAGGCCATGCAGAAGAGGGGGTGGACGGAGGAGATTCGTGGGCGGGGCGAGGGTGAGCCGAAAGAGGGGGGTATACCGGGACGAGGGACACAAGGGAAGCGGGAAGGGAAGGGAAGAGACGAGGCCAAGACGGAGTCGTGCGCCATGGACCAAGGAAAGCGGACGGAGACGAAACCGAATCTCATACTCACTAGCCTTCTGCTGCTGCTCCGTCAAGTAGTCGTAGAACGCGTTGTGCGAGCAGTTCGGGCCGTCGTCGAAGCCGTAGCCGAGGGTGCGGGGCTGGGGGTTGGGGTCAGCGTCAGCGTCGGCGATGGGGAGGGGAGAAGTGAAGGAGATGAGGGGAAGGGGGAGGGAAGGGAAGAAGACCACGCCGTGCACGCGGAGAGGGGGCTGTCGCTCGCAAGTGGCGCGGACTCGACGCGCAGAGCCGCGCACTGCGATGGTCCAGTAAACGCAGGGGCGAGCGGCAGGCGACTCGACGTGCAGAGCAGCGGCGAGGGCGTGCAGTCAAAGCGCGGGCGGACTCGCAGCGCAAAGGAGCTGGCGCGCAGGCGGCGCAAGGATAAGATACGCAGAGCACGCGGGACTCGATACGCAGAGCAGCAAGGCCTCCACGCGTCGCACCTCGAGAGCTCGAGACACGGAGGCACGAGGAATCCGCGCGCGCACATGGGGCGACTGTCCTCCCGCGCAGAGCAGCGAGGGTACGGGCTCCTGCCCTGTGCGTCTACAACGCCGTCCGACGAGGGGGGCACACCGACGCGCCTCCCACATTCTCATCCAAAAGCAGGGGAAAGCACGAGGAAAGAGAAACAACACACCTCCGGTACATTTGCCACATCCATAGCGAGGCCGCTCAGTTTCGGGGTAACGCACTGGTGGAACGTCCACCAGCAGTCCGGGTCCGCCGTGCTGTACGTTGGTGTGTAGTTGGAGAAGTCGCCCGCCATCGTGCCCTGTGCGCCCACCCGTGTCAGCGCTTCACACGAAAAGCAGACTGGGACAGACCTTCGGCGCGATATTCGGGATGCTCGAATTCATCGCGAGGAACTTTGCGCGGCCGACGGTGTCATTCGTGGGGACGCTGGTGATGGGCTGCCAGATAGTCGGGAAGGACGTGAGGGCGGCGGCGACCGGCGGGTACGAGTAGGCCGTGCATTCTACCGAGGGGTCTGTTGACGTCGTTTTTCAGGAAAATCAGCTCGCCCTTCTGCTGAAAAAAGACATCCAAGACACACCTCCGATGGCCGCCTCGCCCGCCTCGGTCGTCCTATCCTGCGCGCGGACCCGCAAAGCAAGTAACAGCGCTAGGGAAGAGGTGCATGCTGGTAGACGCATTGTCTTGGGAACTCAGCCTTCAGTCTTCGGTAAACGAGCGGATGCGGATGGCTGAGAAGAGAGAGAAGAGAAGGGGAAGAAAACGGTGGTGCTTTGTTGGCTCATTCATCATGTGTTCGCCCTGCTGCCCGATAGACAATTCCAAAAAAAGTGCGATATTTTGGGGTACAAGGAGGGTTGAAGGTTATTTTTGGATGCCGTTCGGCATGAGCTGTTGATTGCCGAGCCGCCGCTTGCAGTTGAAGTGATTTTTTTTGGGACACAAGATTGCGGAGTAATCGGCGAATTCCTCGCTCCAAGGAAACCCGCCACTGTCGGTTGCAAAATGATTGTTGAATGACGTCTTGAGTTACAAGTTCCTCGTCTCCGGCTGTCCTCGCCGGCAACTAGCATTTCTCCTTATTTAAATTTTGCGCCACCACAAAATCTGCCGTGCACGTCTCCGTGATACCGATCCATCCATCTGTCCCAAGTCAATTCCAAAAATACTCCCAACATTCCTAAAATAAATATACACGGCTGATTGACCCTGAGCGCTCGGCTCATGTCCATCTACTTCGAAAGACTGCTAGACGTACTCCTCGACAATGTCTCCTAATTCAACGGGTAAAAACATTCGGTATCTCGAGGATATGACCCGACCCGGAATCGAACCGGGACCTCCTGCTTCACACGAGTAGGGGCATACATCATATATAGCAGGTGTGATTCATTTCACCACCAGGTCTTAGTACCTACTCCTTGGCACCCACTTATACTACACCTTTTTTTTCATTCAACTGAGGCACAGGTAAAAAGACATCAATATCCAGGCGCATGACCCAGCCCGGAATCGAACCGGGACCTCCTGCTTCAGATCTGAAAAGTCCCTTATTATAGATAGCAGGTGTGATTCCGGGTCTTTGTACCTACCTCCTGGACCCTCTTGTCCTGGCCATTTCTTTCCCTCGGCCAAGGCAAGGCAGAAGGAGGTAAAAAAACCTCGCAATACCAGATCATGACCCAGCCCGGATTCGAACCGGGACTTCTTGCTTCAATTTTCCCAACATGCGCTATGGAATGCAGATGTGATTCATTTCACCACCGGGTCTTCTTATCCACCTCCTGTGCCCTCTTATCCTAGCAATATTTTGAGGAATTCAAGGGGAGCGAGCGCTAGATAAAAAGAGTGGATGGACAATTATATAACCCAGCCCGGAATCGACACCTCCTGCTCATAATCAAAAATCAACGCCAGAGATTTCAGAGTGTTTCGTTTCACCACCGGGTCTTCCTGCCTACCTCCTGTGCCCTCGGGTGCTAGCAATTCTTTCGTAGGAACGCGGAGAAATGGGCAACACAAACAAGCAGTGCTTCCAAATGACCCAGCCCGGACTCGAACCGGGATCCTTGCAAGGAAATGTCGGGGCATGAATGGCAGGTATGATTCATTTCACCACCGGGTCTTCCTACCGACCTTTCACCCCAGTATTTATCCGACAAATCTCTGGAGTCAATAGGTAAAAGGAGAGAGAAAAAACCCAACATGCCCAATCATGACCTAACCCGGATTCGAACCGGGACCTCCTGCTCTACCGTGGATGGCTATCGAATATCAAATGCAAGTGTGATTCATTTCACCACCAGGTCTTTTTGCCTACCTCCCGCACTTGGATTCATGCTAATTGGTGAAACCGCGGCATGCCGATGGTCGCCGTGTAATATCAATTCAATTCGCAACATCATTCGCCAGCAGCCAACCACAAGAATTTGGTGCAGAGTTGGTGATTGGTGGATGCCGAGGAGGATGTTCTTATACCAATATTCCTCTTTTAACTCGTTTCATGCACTCTATAAAATGTCCGAAATTGAACATTTTAAGCAGCTTGCAAGATGTATGCAACTCCTAGGGGAGGGAAATAAATATGTCTTTTGTGTTCCCACCTTCGCGACGGGAATTCAAACAACGCTAGGGGAGTAGTTGGTTTTCGTCGAATAATGTAGACCAGCTCCATGTCACCGTGATTGGACGGAATCATCATCGAGAGCCTGGACCGCAGGCGAAATCTTCCCAAATCCCGACTTGAAAGTTGAGGCACAAAGTAAGGCACAAAATCATACTGGGATGTTGAGTCATGCACGAGGCCACCACTCGACATCCAACCATGCCATCGCGTTCAGGTTATGACAAAGAAGTCATTGGACACAGCTGAATGCGCAAGCCCATGGTTTCACACGCCGAAATTACACGCATCGTCATGATCTCTCTCTATTTTTGGCTCCTGCTAAAAAAGCTATTCAACTGCGATATCATGATCAACGCAACCAGCGAACCTGAGCCGGATTTTCAACTCATCTCTGTTCAACAAACTTATTCGTGTGCCGGCGGTTTCAGATGCTTCCACACTGTGGAGCTGCCTCAACCTGTGGAATTTCAGTATGGTTTATCAGTGGACCGTTTGGGTGGGCAGGCACATAGCGTGAGCAATTTCCCACTCCTGCGCAGGACGACACGGTCGATAAACTAGAACCACGCAGGCTTTTCTCATAAGGCGCTTCCATGCCTTCCGCATCACACCTCTTTCCCATCAGGTTTTCTGAATGCCGGCAAGCTCTGTGTTACTTTCCCCATACATGGAAATTCCTATCGCGTTCGTGGACGAGAGTAAATGCTGGTAAAACATTTAACTTATGGACCATCACCAATTCCTCTGTTTCGGCTCAAATGAGCCTTCTCCGACCCTGTACCTCTTGCTGCTTCTGTCCCTGTGCCTCTCGCAAATCGGTCACTGGACTTGAGGCATAAAAGCCCGCTTGGTTGAACAACATGCAGTAGCATTTGCGCACTTCCTTTCCTGTATAATGAAATCCATCGCATCTCTTGCTGCTTTCATTGCCGTCGCTGCTGCTGCGACCTTCGCCGGTGTCCCAGGTGCGTCAAACAATGATTCGCCATACACTACCTGACCCACTCCTTCTGTTCATTCTAGGGAGGATCTTCGTCCCCGAGGGCGGACGCGGCGCTTGCGGCGCAGGCATTAATAACACCAACCTTGCGGCCTCTCTTCAACCTAACATCTTCGACAATGGGGCGCACTGCGGGGAGAGCATTACCGTCACAGGTATATTTTCTGGCTATCATGAGTATTCTGTACCTGACTTTGATTCGCAGCATTGAACGGAAACACCGTTACTGTTACAGTTCAGGACTCGTGCACTGGGTGCAGGGACAACACGATCGAATTGACACCTTCGGCGTTCGAGGTCCTTGCGCCTCTGGATTCCCAGGAGACTACCGTTACCTATACAGTGTGATGGAGAGACTCGTAACCTCAGTTGTACAAACATCATGGTATACTGCTAGTACTAGTTTGGCCACCGAGTGTCTGCCCATGTGCTACGGAGCAATTATTTTACTGGAAAACGTGGTGCGTGAGGCTGCCGAGAAGCGGATAGACACTTCTCCGAGATTAAGTAGATGGCGCCGGCATGCTGTCTAAGTGGAAAAGAATACAGGGCGGTAGAATTTATGAATGAATTCGTTGCAATACAGTAATATGCAATTCGATGATGTGTATAGCCTCGACCACGATTATTCTGGCGCACGACATTTAAGCCATCGGAAGCCTCGTAGGGTAATGAAACGCATCCGCCTCTCTCGATCATCAGCAGGGAATTGGGAGAGAACTTCAACTTGGCTGTTGGAAATCAGCTGATGGCTGGCCCGTTGCCGTGATCAGGGGCTGTGCGCGTCGACTTCCGATTCTTGCCTTTACTCTTCCAGTCATCATTTCAGCTCTCAGGCGAACGAAACCGAGGCTAACAGTGCGTCAAGTTATCCATTTCTCCGGATTAACCTCATATTGCTCAAGTACGAGTGCAACCATGGCTGCGAGCAGTGGTCTTGAGCGCAGCACTTTGACAGAGGATCGTGCGCGTTTCGCAGACAGAGTGGCGGAAATCCTGAGTCTGGAGCGCTCCCTTGCCTCGCTGCGCTCCGAAAAAGAGCTGATGCACCAACGATTGGACTCCTACAAGTACCCAGTCTTGACTTTGCCCAACGAAATCACGTCCGAAATCTTCATCCATTTCCTTCCTGTCTACCCTCAATGCCCACCAAGAACTGCGATTCTCTCTCCGATTCTCCTCACCCATATCTGTCACACATGGAGAGAAATTGCTCTCACCACTCCCGCACTTTGGAGGGCGATTTCGTTGTCATTGGCAGCGAGCACAACCGCGTCCCAACTTCATCTGCTGCACACTTGGCTATCCAGATCCGGCTGCTGTCCACTTTCCATTATGAATTGTGGTTCGCCATTCCTCGAGGCGATCTCTCCTTACCGCGAACGCTGGGAACATTTACAGATCCGCTTTTCACACCCCGACCTCCTCTACTCCGAAAGTGTACTGCCCTCACTTCGGCACCTCGATCTGTCATTTGGATCCGATACTCCGAGCACGGCCGTGCTTACATTCCAAGATGCCCCTTTATTGCGTACAGTAGCTCTCGACCATCTGGCAGCTTCCGTGGTCGTGCTCCCTTGGTCCCAGTTGACATCCCTGACTTTGACGACGATCCTCCCCCACGAATACGCCCCCATTTTGAAGCAAACTATTAACCTCGTGCACTGCGAGCTCATCTGCTACGAAGAGGTTGTTGAGCATGCTGTTGGGATAAAACTCTCTTACTTGGAATCACTGGTTTTGTCGAAGGCGAACAACGATGAGGCAGTACCAGGATATCTCGATAGCTTCGTGCTTCCTGCTCTTCGCACGCTGCAAGTGCCGCAAGATTTCCTTGGACGGCACCCCATCGGCACCATCGCATCGTTTATTTCACGATCCGGATGCAAACTGCACGACGTGTGCATCACCCACGGCTATAGAACAGATGCAATGCAGGCCAACTATCGCAAAAATTTCCCCTCCGTTGCGAACTTTTCCTTTCTTTGACACTCCTGAAAACAGCGAGACGACTTCGACTGGGATGTGCGTTGACATTTTTCTGCCGTTAGGATTTCCACTAATCTTATTGTTATTCGTATTCGACAGCCATTGACGCACACACGTACCTGTCTCAATTCTTTTTAAGCCGTAAGCCTTCCGGCCCAGGGGTAGTTTAAAATCTATACAACGCACTGTGTAAATAGTTCTGTTGTGCCTTCGGGCCACCGAGGTGATTGCACGATGTAGAAGACTAGAGTCCGGTTCCAATGGCGACGGTTGATGCGGGTCGGAAGTTGTAAATGAAATTATGAAAGTGCTGTAGAGGAAGCAGCCCTTGTTTAAGCCCAGTCAGGACCATTCGCAGGCTGTGTGGCAGTGGAGGCTGGGAGAGACCTCGTGGGCACTGATCTATGATTTAAAAAAAATTTTGTACGAATGTTGAATTTACGTTGGGAGTACTAGTAGGATCGGGCCGCCAGGAAGCCATCTCACCTCCGGGCTTTATTGTGGGTAAAAATTGTTCAGAGAATTCCAAGACATTCGTTATCAAGTCGCTATGTGGAGAGGACGAGCCAAAAAGCCCAGCTGATGTCGCGGTGAAGATCTCAGCAGTGGGGGGAGCGGGCCCAGAAGGCGGGATGTCCTGCGGGTAGGGACAGTAGAGTTGGCCGGAGAATGGGCTCGAAAGTTTTCAGATCCACCCGTACAGATGCACGGGCGGCGGGGGACCGAAACAAGTTGATTCTGGTCCGACGGGGCGTCCCAAGTTCGACAGTCCTTCTGAGCTTATGTATTGGCACTTCCGAGGTTGTAACCACGAGCCTTCTCTGTCACCGCTTCAATTACGAAGAGAGTGATATATCTGGGCACTTGCAGCGGCGGTTTATAATTGCTCCTCAAGGTAAATTATACTCCACGCGATCAGATAGCGAGGAATCTTCTTCCTCCAAATTTTTATTCGTGCTGATTACTGTAGCATATTTTTTCAACTGCATCAGCACTGTGCCGGTCGGCATCTCGCAAGCGATCATCAGATCAGATCAGCGGAGCCTCCGGCGGCCGGAGCATCTTCTCTCTGAGTCGCCGTCGGTCTCGTATCTGAACACCTCGTCTGGCTGAAGCTCTGGCTGCTATGCGACGTCCGAGACCGGCTTCACTTCGGCGGAGACTGCGATTGACTCCTAAAGTTTGAGAGAGACTGTCGCGGCTCTGAGACCATCCGCGTGCGAGATCGAGACGTGCTTCCGGCGGCCGCTGGCTAAGATTTATGGTTCTGGTGCTCCGTCTCGAGTGGCGCTTTGACTCGCCATTGTCTCCTGCATGGCGTCAACTCTCTTCAACTTAGTCTTGAACTGACGCGTGAAAGACACCGGGATCAACGTTAGTGCGACGATGTGAGACCTTGCGCGCGGCTCTGAAACCATCCGTCGCGCGATCGGGGCGTGCATATCCTCCGATCGCTAACTCTCTGTTTCTCTTGCTTTGCTCAATGCTCTATGGACAGGATTGCCGTGGCACTTTGGCCTCGGTGTCGTCGCTGGGAGGTCTCTCATAGTCTTGGACTGCAGTCTGCGGTGCGCAGGGAGGAAGAACGCCTCACTGAGACTGTCTGGCAGACATGTGAGACCTCCGCACCCTCTGAGACATTCCGCGCGCGGAAGAGGTCTCTACCCGCGCCAACGCCATCCTATGACCCGCGG